GTGTGTGTGTGTGTGTGTGTGTGTGATGTCTGAACCGTCACAGGCACTTCAGCACTTTAGTTCCTGTTGTTCATACACATTTTATGACATTGATGATAATCCTCTCAGTAAGAGCGTCCTTCCCACTTCCTCCCTCTGATTGTCCATTAATCCTCTCCTTGTCATGCCTTCTGAGCTCTTTCCTATGCCCTTGGCAATTTTTTAAAATAGTAGTTTCTTTCCAGTGAAAGTTTACAGGCAAATTATGCCGCCTCTTGGCAGTAACTGCACTGTGATCCTGAAGACATGAGGTTCGGGGCCACCAGCTGCTCCACGGGAGGAGGTTGGGCAGTCTCCACCCATGGGATTAACTGCCCCTGAAAACCTGCCGGAGGGTCAGCTATGGGTCAGCTCCAACTCTACGGCACACAACAACAACAACAACTTGACAATTACTACACAAAAGGTCCCCTAACATCGATTCCATTTTCCACAACATATCAACACTCTGTCGCTTGTTGTTTCCAGAAGCCTAGCCCCCTGCCCCCCACCATCCCCTCTTTATTTTGGGGTGTTGCGACTTGGTTCCTACAGATGGTTTCATAACTCGACCCTCCCCCACAGGCCCGGCAAATCTCCTGGCGGGTAAGTCACAGCCAGTCCGCAGCTGCCCTGCTGGGCTGGACACTGAGCTGCACAGAAGCCTGTCCACCTTCCCCTTGGAGCCACTGGTCGAAGGAAGCGAATGATGGGAACAGCCAGAGGCACTGCCTTCAGGTGTGCAGAGCACTTGGGTTTCCATGGAGGTAACGTAGTCCCTTCTGGTTTCTGTGTAATCCAACACACACAGAGGACCTCAGGGGCCAGTCTGACCTGAGGTTTACACAGCAGCTCAGGGATTTAGTGAGATTCCTCCCCTCTTGTTCCTGGTTGGTGTGAAGTCACAAGCCAGAGGGTACGGATAACGTCAGGAGGTGGGGAGAGCTGAGTTCACTTTGCAACTGACATACTGGGGGCTCGGGCAGCAAGAAGGTGAGTGGTGGTCAGGGACACTGACCACTCACCAGAGGAAAGGCCACCTGGGGAAGAGTCCGGTTCCAGCCACTGATGTCAGTCCTTGGGGGGGGGGTTCCTCTTTTTCAGTGACCCTCTGCTCCCTAAACATGATGTCCTTTACCTGTCCCTACTGATAATATGTCTGGAGAATGAGATGAAATATCACCATCCCCGCCTCCAAGGAGCATTCTGACTACCCTTAATCTAAGACAGACTTGTTTGTCCCTGGATCAGTCACACCAAGGAGGTCGTCACACATTGGGAAAATCAAACAGCACCAAATGGGCAGCGCTTGTTCAGGGAGAAAGCTCAGAAGTTAGGAAGCTGATAGGTCAAGGATGAATGAAAACAGGAAACACAGGGAGGACTGGGAATAGTGCTGCTGTGGCCCGTCAATCACTCTCAAACCCAGGCGTGTATGAATTGCTCCATGGGGAATGGCTGCATCCTGTAATCTTTCACCCAAAGCACAGAGTGCAGCCCGAGGACGGGCTGTGAGCCACCAGCCGTTCCACGGCTGCTGCGTGTGTGAATGGCCACCTGTGTCCATGCTGGGTGGCCAGTGGAAGGCTCCCCTCAAGGTGTGGGCGTCCCCAGCTCCGGGAGTGGCCCTCAGGGGGCAGCAGCTTCTCCTTGGCTTCCTGAGGAGGCAGTCCTCCCGCTCTCATTTGTCCCTGTCGCGTGGAGACGTGTCTCCATGGAAACGGGCAGGCAAACACAGGCAGAGGCAGCAACTGCAGCTCGTGGATGGCACCGGTGCCCTGGACCGACCGACGGGTGGGGCTGGCCCCGGCAATGGGGGCGACCTATGTGCGTGCACGCGTGCGGGGAGCCACGGCGGTGCTGTGATTGGTGAGTCTGTGTGTACACAGGCATGCACACCATGTGTGGGTGTGAGTGTGTGCAGACAAGCACGAGTGAGTGCCGCGTATACGTGCGTGGGGTGTGTGTGCGCATGTGCCCGTGTTTATGTGTGAACACTGACAGCTGTTGGGTGGCCGAGCATGGCAGTTCCACAGGGAAGAGCCCTCAGGGCTGCTGTGAGGCCTAACAGAGCATGACCCTCGGCTTGTGCCCACTCCTGCAGGGCAGGGCACTGCCTGCTGGACCCAGCCCCAGCCCCCACCACCCTGGTACACAGTTCTGGCTGAAGACACCACACCGGTAATGGGAGGGGATCCCAGACGCTGTGCTGGAGGCCTGGGGGTGGGCCCTGGAGTCTAATCCATGAGAGGGAGTGGCAGGGCCCAGGGCAGGAGAAGAGTACTCAGCTTTGCAAAGGCCCTGGGGCCGGAGAGAAAGAGGCAGGGAACCAGGAAGCCAGAGCCGCTGGGCTTCACCCTGGTCCTCTCTCAGGGTGGGGACCCCTCATAGTGGGTCACTGTCCAATCACCAGTCAGGGCTTCAGTCATCACCACTTCCACGGCTCGGAGAGGTGTGTGGGCTCCTGCCCTCTCAGCTCACTGTCCACACAGGAGCCACTGAACTGAGGGGAGATGCCAGACTGCCCGTTGCTGAACCACCGTGGGGTGTCCAGCAACAGGGGACTGTTACATGGCTGCCATCGCTGCTGTTTCTAGCTGGGCCAGGACCAAGGGCAGGGGTTATTGTACCTGAGCTCACAAGGGACACGTGCAGATCTGAAGGGACATCTCCAGGCAATCTAGGGTCAAGGATGACCCCGAGGGGGACAGAGGTCATCAAGGCTATAAGAGCTGGCTGGGGCATCTTCCCAGAGACTCTCTTCCCAAACGGTCTCACCTTTATGCTCACACATTTTCCTTTTACATTGTGATTCCTGAGAGCACAGAACACAGACATGGAGGGGGACAGGGACGGGGACACTCAGGAGGTGGAGAGAGGGAGACAGACACGGAGTGAGAAAGAGGATGAAGGAGACAGAGGGAGACAAAGCCAATGGGCGTGGGATCCAGGGATGGAGAGAGAGAGAGAATGTGTGAGAGGGAGCGAAACAGAGACAGGAGAGACCCAGGCAAGAGATCCCCCCAAGAGAAGACCAATGAGAGAGAGGCAGACCCAGGGAGAGAAAGGTGAGGGAGAAAGAGAGGGGGCAAGACACAAAGAGGAGAGAGAAAGGAGAAAGGTAGAGAGAAGGCAAGGTGGGGGCAGAGGTCAGCACCCCCTCTACATGCCTGGACCCCAACCCCATCCCACCCCAACAGACCAAATGGGGTGAGGAAGGACCCTGTGCTCTACCCCATGCTGCCCCCAACCCAGACATGGCCAGTCTCAGGCTGTGCTGGGGATTTATGCTGAGACTCTCAGCGCAACACAAGCCGCCT